TAGAGATAGAGTTAATGGAGGTTTAGGTATGCCGGATTTTAGGAGACACTACCGTGCTGTGCTAATTTCACAAATAGCAGAGTGGATTCATAATACACAAGGGAAAAGTTTGGTTAAAATGGAAAATACACTAAGCAGGTCACAGTTAGATAAAATAATATGGCTTCCACAACAATATTGAATCTTTTCGGAAAATACAAGCACTTTAACACGGAGTGTTATAAGAGAATAGAATTCATAAACAAATGGGATGGGAATACAACTCACTATTAATACCGTTGAAGGAACAGATTTCTTCCTCCAGGGAAAGAAGGTATTGCAGGTAGATGGATAAAAAATAAAAATGCACGTTTGAAGGATATCACTGAAAATGGGGAGTTACTTTCTTTTTTGGAATTAAAAAATAGGAATGATTTGTTTTTTAGATTAGATGAGTGGTGGTACCACCAACTGAGGGATTTTGTAACAACTCTCCCGCAGCCATTGAGGGCGGTGGAGAGCATGTACCCATTAGATTGTTTTTTTAGTCAAGAAACAATACGTAAACATGTATCTTCTTGTATTTATAAGATCTTTACAATTACATCGGGATCTGTATCTCCACCCTACCTGGAGAAGTGGGAAAAAGAGCTTGGAACAAAATTGGAGGAGCAAGATAAAAAGAAAATATTCAGGTTGGCACACAGTGCTGTAAATATGAATATAGTAGAAATTAACTATAAATGTCTAGTAAGATAGTATTGCACACCTAGTGTAGCACAGAAACAACGACCACAGAATCCACTTTTATGTTGGAGGGGGTGTGGGTTTGAAGGAACTATGGCACATATATGGTGGGAATGCCCTAAAAGCCAAGAGTTTTGGCAAGGAATAATACAAGTTCAGGGGATAATGGGAACCGGAATACCAAATAACCCTTGGGCCTGTGTATTTCATAATGTGGATTTTACAGTGAAGCAATATAAGACATGGTAATATTCCATTTAATAAATGCAGCCAAAGGTCTGATCCCGATTATTTGGCAGAGCAAAGAAATTCCTAAAATAAAAGACTGGATTAACAAAGTTGAGTACATATACAGGATGGATGAACCTTACCATATTGGAGAGGATAAAATTAAAAAACTTAGAAAAGCTTGGGAGAGATGGATAAGTTATGAAGCAACTAAGAGTTATGCAGTATTCACAGATTTATGAGGGGGAAGATTGAAGTTTCCCCCTTGCATTATTGAATACACTTGAGAGGAGGGGGTAGGAAATGATGGATGGATGATAGAGGTTAATAGAAGGCTAGGGTGACCTGGGGGTGGGGGTATGGGTGGAAGAAGGGAAGGGGGGAGGGAGAGAGAGTTTTTTTGTAAGAAATTGGATATTGACAATGTATTGTTGTATTACATGAAATAATGTATGTTTCAAAATGAACAAAAGATATAAAAAAAGGCCAATCACAGCGGTCTTTTACCATGTGATCAGCTGTCTCTAATGACACAGCTGATCACAAAGTAAATACAGTTGCCGGTTATCGGCAGCACTTTCCTCACGCTGTCACAGAGTGAGGAAAATACTGCTGGTAAACGGCAAGCATCACAGAGGGCATCTGAACTGATTGTCAGTGCCCTGATTACACTGTTCAACAAATTTTTATTTTTGCCAGTTTTGGAAAGAAAAGGATCCATTTCTTAATGAATTTCACATTCTGAGTTCAAATATAACAATGAAATTTGTCAATTGGCTCTAGTTTTTCTGTAAACGGAAAGTTTTCTACTATAGGCGTAATGACTACATAATGCAATAATTATATATAGATAGATGTCTTTCCACAAATATAAAGCAAGTGATATTGACTACATAACAAAGCCTAAATGGCATAATATATTGCATAGGATTACCAAGAAAAATTATAGCCATAAGCTAAGTTGAATCATTTTAATACTTTTAATACTATTCTCACTAGTTTTGTCTTCAGTTTGTGTCGGTTTTGCTTCTCTTGGCTTTTCTCTTGTATTCGAGGAAAGGGCTATCTCTTACAACTGCACGTGACTACACGCTTCAGGTTCTTCCTCACTTGACTCAACCACAAAGGATTCTGGTGCTTTAGGAATTGGTAGCCCCTCTCCATGAGGAACTGGACGTATTGCCGATGGAATATTTGGATAGTGCACAGATAACTTTTTCTTCTTATTTAGCCCTTTTACAATTGGAGGCACCATACAAAAGTAACAATTACTAACATGATCAGTTGGCTCTCTCCAAATCATTGGCACAGCGAAAGGCATAGATGCCTTTTTTCCATTCAACCATTGCTCCAGTGCCGCCCCACAAGAATTGCAGCATATATGTGGTGCCCAGCTCTTGTCCTGGTCTCCTATCTTGCAGCCAAAATACAAGTTGTAGGTTTTCTTAATCATTCCTGTTATCCTCCTTTTTTGTGAGATAAAAGTTATTTCACCGCAGATATAGCAGAAATTATCTGCTTTATTCACACAAGTTCGAGGCATTACGGAGTAGCCTATATAAGCATAAAACGAAATGTAAAGACGCTGTCGAACTACAATCAGCTACAGATATTGCAGCTTTTATGCAGTGAAGTGATGCAATTAAAGGCTAATATTGCATCATCTCAGTATACATGCAATTTTCTATTGGTCACCAGTATCAATTGCGCAATATGCAGCTGAAGTTGCATCATAATTTTGAATGGCTTACGTCATTAGATGGGTGAATATATCATGGAAACTAGAGCCAATCAACATTTTTTAGGGTCATTTTCGTTTTCAGCACCCCAAAATTATGTCCAAAACTTTTTACCTGTTGAACAGTGTTATCAGTGCAGCCCCAAAAGTACCCAGCAGTGGTGCCCAGCAGTGCCACCCATCAGTGCCCAGCAGTGTCACCCATCGGTGCACTTCAGTGCCACCCAGCAGTGCCACCTATCAGTGCCCAGCAGTGCAACCCATCAGTGTCTCCAGTCAGTGCTGTCAGTCAGCGCTGCCAGTCATTGCCCATCAGTGCTGCCTAATAGTGCCCATCAGTGCTGCATCAGTGCAGCATCATCATTGCCTCCTCATGAATTCCCACCAGTGGCCTATCAGTGCCGATTAGTGCTGCCTATCAGTGCAGCCTCAATGCACATCAATGAAGGAGAGAATGTACCTGTCTGATAAATTTTATAGTAAAAACCAAGAAAACATTTTTTTCTTTTCACATTTTTGGCTCTTTTATTGTTTATAGTGCAAAAAATAAAAAAACTGTGGCCATGCAATTGTCATTCAAAGTGCAACAGTGCTGAAAGCTCGAAATTGGCCTGGGCAGGAAGGGGGTAAAAGTGACCCGGTAGGCAAGTGGTTAAAAGAGGCCTGGATCCTTTTCTAGACACACATAATATAACTGGATACTAACATTTATAGGTAAAGTTGATCCAGGGAATATCCAATTGCCTCTCAAGGGATCAGGAAGAAATGTTTTCCCCTGCAGGAGCAAATTGGATCATGCTTTGCTGGGGATTTTTGCCTCTCTCTGGATAAACTGTGGGTATAGCATATAAAATTTTTTTTTTCCCTTTTATGGTTGAACTAGCCAGACTGTGTTTCTTCAGCCAGACTAACCATGTAACTATGTATGTAAGTCGTGCACGCATATGTAAACTGTGTTCGCACCACACATGTAAGGTCTAGTGCTAGACCTCCTCTGTAACTCTATACAAGTAACCTGTAAACATTTTTAAAGTGTCGCCTATGGAGATTTTAAGTACGGTAGTTTGTCGCCATTACATGAGCATGTGAATTTTAAAGCGTGACAGGTTAGGTATCTGTTTACTCAGCGTAACATCGTCTTTCATATTTTACAAAAAAATTGGGGTATATATTGTGTTTTGTTTCTTTTTAACCGCTGCGCAAATACCATGTGAAATAAAAAATTGCAATGATTGTCATTTTATTCTTCAGGGTCTTTGTTAAAACAAAAAATATAATGTTTGGGGTTATAAGTAATTTTCTAGCAAAAAATACTGATTGAAACTTGTAAACAAAAAGTGCCAGAAAATGCTTGGCCTTCAAGCGGTACAAAGTTTTGGCACAGGTTCACAATACAATTTGGGATATTCACAAGTGATGCCCCATTAAAGTGGTCGTTAACGCTTACATATATCCAGAGAAGTGACAAGTGATACAAAGAGATGAAACAAATCTTCCTACATAAGTTTTACCTGTCTATCTGCAGTCTTCTCTTCTCTACATCCATTCAAAGTGTTGGATTTATAAAGCTTGTCTGAGAGTTCAGAAAAAAGGGGGCGGAGTGCCGAAACTACAATCTTCAGAGCTCAGTGAGGAGAGCTCTGAGAGGTAATTGTAGGGAAGAAACACACCCCCCTTCACAGAGCACACTGGAACAGAGCTGAGGCTGTCACTGTGTTGAAGCTTCCTCCGCTGTCACCTTTTTTATCTTGGTGTCAGGAAAACTTGTTAGAAGTGATTCATGCTGATAGGAAAGTAATGAAGCCACAGACACAAATTACACTTAAGCTAGCCATAGAAAGTTGGAATCTCCTGCTGAACCAGTCGAGATTCCTACCATGTATGGGCAGGCTGGGTGTACACAAGTTGATCGATCAGCTTGGGTACAACCAGCCTGCTGGATATTGCATTCGATTATTGCTAGTGGCTATTAGAGCCGTTAGCAATAATCACTGTCTTCTTCTGGCAGGGACGGCTCCCCCCTCCATTGGGAGAACACAATGGCTCGGCTTGAGGGATTCCCCTGTCAAAACTGTCTCTGCTGATGGGAGAATCAAGCACATTTCTTTCCTGCAACCTTTTACAGGAAATAAATTTGCACCGCCTACGGCCTGGCTAAGATCTCCTAATTGAGACAAATACACTCTATAGAAGGATATTTTTTGTTCGTATTTCTTATGTGTTAAGGTTTATAACCACTTTAAGTTACATCACTTGAAACAAAATCTTACTGCATATTGCCTCCCAAAACCAGAAAGAAGGAACGTACCTGACAAGCAGACTGTTTTCCAGTGGAGATAGTTGAGTAGCCAAGGTAAACCAGTTTTTGAATTCTGTCAATGAATCACAACTGAAATTCTGAGGTTTGACAGCGTAGAAGTATTCCTCATCTCTCTCATCTACATACTCACACAGTTCTTCTTCTTTACTGAGATTGAAACCACACTTGGTTTCTACTTCTTTGCCTGGACTAGTGAATTTGCACAAGTAGCCAACATTACCATACCAGCTATTTCGTGACTTCCACAGGGCTGAGACTGCTTCACTTGGGTGCATTAGAAACAATGTTACCACTACTTTACCTTCCCAAAATAAGGTAAAATGTACATGGTATGTCCCATTTTTAAAGTCTTCAATTCTTCCAGAAGCTCCCGATTGTATATCAGGATTGTGAATCATTGCTCTCAGATAATCTCCTCCATAGGGTTTTTTTTTTGCCTATATAATCATATGCATCAAGTTGTACTATTAATGTGTCTCCAACACAATATTTTTCTTTGGGGTTTTGTATGAACATTTTGCTATTTGTGGCACTTGTTGTGCTGTCAATATGGTCAAAAGTCACTTTAGGCATCATCTGATCTATATGGTTGAATATCTCATTGACCCGCTTCTGAATTTCTGATTCTTTTTCTATTTTACTGACTGTAGGTGTATGGGTCTCTGTAGTAGCACACTATAAAAGCAAGAAAGCATCCAATAATTAGACATTACAGAATCAAAACTGTGTATGCAAATGACAGAATTTTAGCAAAATTGTAAAATTATAATAGCATTCAGGAAAACAAGAAGTGGTCAAATATGAAACACAATAAATAGAGAGTTATGAACTGTCACAGAAACCACAATGACTTGGGCTGCTGGAGGGGCCTGGGGCCATTCTCCTTCCCACCGATTATGGACCCAGGACTATGGAGATCCCCTATTGGGGGTACAAGGAACCTTTTCCCCCCGAAGAGGGTTAGATCACTTCCCTGGGTACCTGGCTGGCCGTGAATTATACCAGCTACCCTTTCCATGCAATAAAGGCTGGAGGGATGTCTTTTGAGACCCCTTAGCATACCGTGCATAGTGGAACTATTATCCTGGAGCAATGTGTTATGTGCAGGGGGTGAATTCCAGCTTTAGTGGAGTTAAGAAACTCTATTTTCTGTTACAGGTTTCCTAGCATCAACTATTGTTTTCTGTAATTAGGTTTAGATGAGTCCATAATACTAGGTGCTGGGAAGGAATCCATTGTTTTCTTGTGTTTGATTGTTTCTTTGTTTATGTATAGTCATTTGTCTTTGGACTTGTAATGTGTGCCATACCTGTCTATGGGGAGGTTTTTATGTGTAAATGCTGTGCTGTGTGTTAATAAAGTCAGTCCTGTTTTACTTCAACATTGGTGCTTGGTGTAAATTTGCTATATTTTGGTTCAAGAATAGAGGAAGCTGTAGTTTGGTGGAGATGCATCCATGTCAGGCAGTACATCACATGAGTGATTCTGGGTTTACCGGATATAAAGGGCTGTGGTGAACAGGATGCATTTTTTTCACATGCTCAGTTTAAATTGTGTCTAGGTTACCTAAATTGACTTATCCTTGGAATGTTACAGCTGCCTTTATTGGTTCAGCTGCCTTTTCTGGTACACAGAGACATGGGTTTGTGTGCACTAATGGCTGCTACAGCATTGTATTTCACTTATTAAACATATTTATTTATTTATATTTTGTATTCACCATAGTAAGCGCTTGAATTATATTTATAATTTACCTAAATTGACTTATCCTTGGAATTTTACAGCTGCCTTTTTTGGTTCAGTTTGTTACAGCACAAAAATGTTTATTTCCTTCTGCTGAATAAAAGACGTATTGGGTTACTTCTTTAACACCCTGCTATAAATGTTTGATGCAGGATGTTGAAGCCAACACAAGATGGCAGTGTCCTGTAGAACAGTGACAGTCTCATGCTGAAGAACTGTTCTATGGAACGTTTATGCTGAATCTCAGGACTCTACTGAGGAGCAGTGCAATTAGACACTACATTTCCCAGAGGAGCTGGCATGTGGGCAGGGGCATATATATGTAAAAGACCAGGAGATTGGACAAGAAGTGAGAGGGGAGAGATCTAGAGAAAGGAGTGTGTTGATCGCTGGAGAGCCAGACCAGGCCACAGAAAGAGAGAGAAGGGAGGCAAAGAGAAAAAGAAAAGAAAGAAAAACTGCAAGGATCCACCAGATGCCATTCCTTGGATGAGAGTGGCAAGTCTTGTCTAGGGAAAGGAACACTTTCTGCATAGTTGCTATTTCTCCTGCACAATAGCAGGCATCGTATACAGTCACTATAAGTTGCAGCCTAGTCCCTTCAGCCGCTGTTGCTTAACTACACTTGACATCTTTAACACCACCACTGATAGCAGGACAACTATCCCGCAGACCGAACTGAGGCCGTGTCACAATAATTATCAATTTACCATTTTTAAAGCGATCTCTTCCTATTGTGCTAATTGTCTTACAGTCCAGAGAGGAGCTACCTTGTATCAACAACTACTTCAGCCAGCCTAACAGTCTTTCTTCTTCACATCTACTTACTAGTGACCTGTGCACTTAAAGGAACATTATACCTGTTCATTGCCACTTTCAAGGGGAGTGTTGTTTCTCCTTTGCCTTATTGCATTGTTCTTCAGGGAATCACACCTCTCCTCATTGTGCACCAACTGGGCCCCATCACACGTGCAGAAGTATCTTCACTGCACTTAAAGGGGGCATTGGTTGCTTTAGGGGTAAAGAGCTCTTTCATTTCAAGCTACATCCCTGCCATCAGGTCCTGAGGGCCCAGAGTGAGCTAGTCTTGCCTGTTTGATAGTTCTCATTGCTCACTGGGGACTATAAGGCCATCTCAGGTTGAAAGGATTGGGTTAGTTTCTGAAAAGCAGGCCTGCTAACAATATTTGTGGCTCTATGATAAGTTTTGTCTTTTCCTTGTTTAAAGTTAACACAAGTAACAGCTGATCCCGCATAGGCTAATTTTCTTTATGCTGTGTAACCAAGCTACATTTAAATCTGGTATAAACCTCTTATCAATTTACTCCAATCAGTGTGTGAGTTCATTTCCTGGAGGTAATCTAATCTGGTTAAGAATGTACAGTGGTGTCAGCAGGGGTTGGTCTTTCAGTCCGGGGCCAAAGCAACAGGGATCCCAAAAATAATCTAGCAACTTCTAAGGGGGTAGTGTTATACTACAGTAACCTGACAGTTTCCCCCTTGTGACAGCCTTTTCATTAAGACAGAACATTGTTAGGAAGTTTGGTGATATACATTTTTTTGTATTATTTTACAGTTGCAAGAAAAAGTATGTGAACCCCTTGGGATTACGTGGAGTTTTGCATGAATTGGGCATAAAATGTGCTCTGAATGTCATCTAAGTCACAACAATAGAAGAACACAGTCTGCTGAACATAATACTACACAAACATTAGATGTTGCCATGGTTTAATTGCACATAACATGTAAACATTCACAGTGCAGGGAGGAAAAAGTATGTGAACCTTTGGACTTAATAACTGGTTGACCCTCCTTTGGCAGCAATAACCTCAACCAAACGTTTCCTGTAGTTGCAGATCAGACCTGCACAACGATCTGGAATAATTTTGGACCACTCCTCTTCACAAAACTGTTTCAGTGTAGTAATATTCTTGGGATGTCTGGTGTGAATCGCTCTCTTAAGGTCATGCCACAGCATTTCAATCGGGTTGAGGTCAGGACTCTGACTGGGCCTCCAGAAGGCGTATTCTGTGCTGTTGCAGCCATTGTTTTGTTGAATTACTTGTATGCTTTGGGTCATTGTCCTTTTGCATCACCCATCCTCTGCGGAGCTTCAGTTGGCGGACAGATGGTCGTACGTTTTCCTGCAAAATGTCTTGATAAACTCTGGAATTCATTTTCCCATCAATGACAACAATCCGTCCAGGCCCTGAGGCAGCAAAGCAGCCCCAAACCATGATGCTCCCTCCACCTTGTTTTACAGTGGGGATGAGGTTTTGATGTTGGTGTGCTGTGCCTTTTTTTCTCCACACATAGTGTTGTGTGTTCTTCCCAAACAACTCAATCTTGGTTTCATCTGTCCACAGTATATTTTTGCCAGTAGTGCTGTGGAACATCCAGGTGCTCTTTTGCAAACTTCAAACATGCTGCAATATTCTTTTTGGACAGCAATGGCTTCCTCCGTGGTCTCCTCCCATGTACTCCATTCTTGTTTAATGTTTTCCTTATTGTAGATGTGTCAACAAAAATGTTAGCATGTGCCAGAGATTTCTGTAGGTCTTTAGCTGACACTCTGGGATTCTTCTTTACCTCATGCAGCATTCTGCGCTGTGCTCTTGCAGTCATTTTTACAGGACGATCACGCCTAGGGAGAGTAGCAACAGTGCTAAACTTTCTCCATTTGTAGACAGTCTGTCTTACCATGGACACATGAACATCAAGGCTTTTGGAGATACTTTTGTAACCCTTTCCAGCTTCATGCATGTCAACAATTATTGATCGTAGGTCTTCTGAGAGCTCTTTGCTGCGAGGCATGGTTCACATCGGACAGTGCTTCTTGAAACCAGTAAACCCAAAACAGGTGTGTGTTTTTTTAAGGGCAGGACAGCTGTCAGCAACACATCCAATATCATCACACTGATTGGAGTCAAGGTTGGCTCACTCCTGGCTCAAGTTAGCTCTGGGAGAAGTCATTAAGCTAGGGCCTCACATACTTTTTCCTCCCTGCACTGTGAATGTTTACATGTTATGTGCAATTAAACCATGGCAACATCTAATGTTTTGTGTAGTATTATGTTCAGCAGACTGTTTTCTTCTATTGTTGTGACTTAGATGACATTCAGAGCACATTTTATGCCCAATTCATGCAAAACTTCACGTAATCCCAAGGGGTTCACATACTTTTTCTTGCAACTGTATATATTTTACAAGGTGGAAAGGTGGGGGCATATACTAAAATACAACACATCCACTGTTGTCCTACTAATTTCAGTTACATATGACCACATTTCCTTTTCTTTACCTTTATCAGGTATTATTGGGGATGTTATTCATGCATTTTGTAGCTTTAGTTAGAGTGTGGTCTGAGAATTGTTTGCTGTTCTACAACTATCTTCCACCTAACGACTACAAACCAGCCAAAAACATAACTCCATGCTAAGTGCCCTCATGTTTACACCAACCTTATTGTTTAGTGGCAGAAGGCTGTACACAAAGGTCACAATACACAGGTGTGAGCCCTGGCAGCTATGCATAGTAAAGTTGATAGCCGCTCATGTAGCTGGCCAGCTAAGACCAGTCCTAGGTTGTTAATATGGTTCACATATATGTGTATACCAAAACCTGCCAATAACCTCAGTACAGTATATATGTGCAT